CAATTAATTATTGGAGTATTATTTCACATGCATTCATCTATTAGTGATGTTATGTATGTCTAAGCTAGGTATTGCTAGCACAGTGGAACTTTCTCTTCTCAAATAAAAAAGAGAGATACCATTTGATATCTCTCTGTTGAGCTTGGCAAGACTTCATTTGCAGTCTAATAACATAAGGCATGAGATCCATTCCAACTCTCATATGCAGAAACTGCAGGAATTGATATAATTCTTTCTATAGTGCATTGTTCTAGAAGACCAAATACTTTGCAAACATTTATAAATACAGTGAGGGGGAAAATATTTGATCCCCTGCTGATTTTGTACATTTGCACATTGACAAAAAAATGATCAGTATAATTTTAATGATAGGTTCATTTTAACAGTGAGAGACAGAATAACAACAAAAAAATTCAGAAAAATCATTTCAAAAAAGATATAAATTGATTTGCATTTTAATAACTGAAATAAGTATTTGACCCCTTTGCAAAACACAACTTAGTACTTGGTGGCAAAACCCTAGTTGTGAATCACAGAGGTCAGCCATTTCTTGTACTTGGCCACCAGGTTTGTACACAGATCAGGAGGGATTTTGTCCCACTCCTTTTTGCAGATCCTCCCCAAGTGATGAAGGTTTCAAGGCTGATGTTTGGCAGCTCGAACCTTCAGCTCCCTCCACAGATTTTCTATGGGATGAAGGTCTGGAGACTGGCTAGGCCATTCCAGGACCTTAATGTGCTTCTTCTTGAGCCACTCCTTTGTTGTTTTGGCTGTGTGTTTTGGGTCATTGTCATGCTGGAATACCCATCCACGACCCATTTTCAATGCCCTGGCTGAGGGAACGAGGTTCTCACCTAAGATTTGACAGTACATGGCCCCGTCCATGTCCCCTTGATGCGGTGAAGTTGTCATGCCCCCTTAGCACAGTGGTTCTCAACCTGTGGGTCGGGACCCCATTTGGGGTCGATCGACCATTTCATGGGGGTCGCCAAGCAAGGCTGTCCGCCATTTTTTTTGTCCGCCATTTTTCCCCCCTTTTCCGGCGGGTGCCTTACCTCCCTTGGGCTGGGCCAGCTGGTGGTCGGCCTGCTCCGTCTCTGCCGCTTGCCAGCTACACCTCGGCCGGCACAGGGGGCGGAACCACGCATGCGCGGCACTCCCGGGCAGGGAAAGTCCTCGACTTACGACCGGTTGGGTAGTCCTCGACTTACGACCGGTTTAGTCCTCGACTTACGACCGGTTTAGTCCTCGACTCACGACCGGTTGGGGTCGCGGCATTAAAAAGGTTGAGAACCACTGCCTTAGCAGAAAAACACCCCGAAAGCATAATGTTTCTTCCACCTCCATGTTTGATGGTGGGGATGGTGTTCTTGGGGTCACAGGCAGCATTCCTCCTCCAAATACGGCGAGTTGAGTTGTGCCAAAGAACTCAATTTTGGTCTCATCTGACTACACCCAGTTCTCCTCTGCATCATTCAGATGTTCATTGGCAAACTTCAGACAGGCCTATACATGTGCTTTCTTGAACAGGGGGATCTTGCAGGCGCTGCAGGATTTCAGTCCTTCGTGTAGTTCTGGGCTAATTCCTCACCATTCTCATGATCATTGAAACTCCACAAGGTGAGATCTTGCATGGAGCCCCAGACCGAGGGAGATTGACAGTTATTTTGTGTTCTTTCATTTGCGAATAATTGCACCAACTGTTGTCACCTTGTCACCAAGCTGCTTGGCGATAATCTTATAACCCATTCCAGCCTTGTGTAGGTCTACAATCTTCTCCCTGACATCCTTGGACAGCTCTTTGGTCTTGGCCATGGTGGAGAGTGTGGAATCTGATAGCTTCTGTGGACCAGTGTCTTTTATACAGATAACAAGCTGAGATTAGGAGCACTCCCTTTAAGAGAGTGGTCGTAATCTCAGCTCATTACCTGTATAAAAGACACCAGGGAGCCAGAAATCTTGCTGATTGATAGGGGATCAAATACTTATTTCACTCATTAAAATGCTATGTGATCTATAGCTTTTTTGAAATCAGTTTTTCTGGATTTTTGTTGTTATTCTGTCTCTCACTGTTAAAATAAACCTACCATTAAAATTATAGACTGATCATTTCTTTGTCAGTGGGCAAACGTAAAAAATCAGCAGGGGATCAAATATTTTTTCCTTCACTGTAGCTGCCACTTAAGTTCATCAGGATATTATTCACAGACATACAGTATAAAATACACTTCTTTGTGGGAGGGGCAGAGAATCATTGTTGACTCAAAAGCAATCTTTTGAACAAGATCAAAAATTTGAAGAAGCTCTGCAACAATAGAGATGGAGGGAAACGTGTCAGCTTAAATTTCTGGATTTAGTTAAGGGAGTCAATGTTGCTTCGTTTGCATTAGATTGACATGACTACATTTTTAAAAATTGTCCTGACTAAGACTTTCAGTATTTCCAGGAAGTATTTGGTAGCTGTTACAGTGTTATTAAGACAAATCTATTAAAATATATTTATAATTGGCTTCCATATGTTATTTTGATATGTCATTGCTACTGCTACTGGAAAAACACAAGGCAGTCAATTCTAAGACTACTTTTGAAAATATTACTAATGGATATATTATTGTGGGGATAGACTGACAAAAGCAATATAGCACTGTCATGATGCAAACCCTATCCCTTTTATACATATGGCATAAGATCACATCTACATCCAAAAGTGGTGGCATTTGTGGCACAATGGCATGATGTTGCTTTCATAACTGATGAAAAACAGGAAGCTTCTATCTACAGATACCCATGTTTTTCTTTATGCAAATTAAGTAGCAATCGCAAAGAACTAATGTAAAATCACAACATTGGAATTATAACTGTGTTGTCTAGTATTAGATTACTGTAAAACCAGCAATTACAGAAAAAAGTAATTGCACAGATAATGTATTAGTGGTGAATGCATATTATTCCTGCTATTGACTATTCTGACTCATTTTTATGCCGAGGGGTCTAATAGGACTGTAATAAAATACAATGTGTCCATGTGATAGAGCAGTGATCCCAAACTTTCCAGCTCCAGGGACCAGCAGCAGCAGTAGGGTGGGAGGGGATAGTTTTGCACGCATAACCTAGTTCTGGTGCATGCACAAATTAAACTTTACACTCTCGCCTGCCACTTGCATGGCCTAGTTCCCAATGAGCCATGGACCAGCACTGGTCCATGGGCCAGGGGTTGGGGATCTCCATGGTAAAGCAACATAAAAATTAAACCTGTACTTTTGATTACCTAGTGTGATGATTTGCATCTAAAGAGGGTTTTAGTGGTGGAAGTGAGGAATATATTAAAAGCAAAATGAAGACAAATAAGACAATAGCACATTTTCCATACACATGCTACATTAGAAAGTGATGATGAACTAGTGACAGTATTTTACCCAGAAAACACTGATTTCATATGTGCATAAAATGAAACTGAACATCAACGATGACCCACAATTAAGAATTACCTGAAAAGTACATACTGTGAATACTGTACATTCTGTGTAATATCCACTTCCAGATTTCTTTACACAATTGAAAAGACTATATACCATGAAACATTGTAAGTTTCATGAAGCCTGCTGTAAAATACATAATTGCATACATATTTAGAAATGTCATAGATTATCTTTTGAACTGTTCAGTTATAGATTCAAACTTATTTACAGTCGCACTACCCTACTGAAACATTTGTATTGATGCAAAGACAGTATATGAAATGCCTACCCCACAAAATATATCAACTTAATATTATGAAGAGGGGAAAATGTTAAAGAAAAAAGACATGAAAACATATAGAACCATTTCCTTGTTATGCTGAAATTTTCTTTTTTGGAAAATATTTAAAATATTTGAGATCTCTCAAAAGTTAATCTCTTATTTTCCAGCTATATCATTTACTTTTTAAATGATATAGAATATGTTACTAGATTTCTCGACTGAGAAGATAATACCTGAGGAATCCAACTCAAGCATCTTATTCTAGAAGAGGTGGCTTGTATTATGTATGTATGTATAATTATGAATACTTTGCTTGCGTAAGTTTCTTACTGGAATATATGTTCCTATTTTGATATTTCATTAATACTGACAATTACAAATAAACTAATGAAGCTTTATAATTTACATTTTTACCTACTGCATCCTGGCAATGGAATATAATATAAGCAGTGAAAGAAATTAGTGTTCAAAGAGTACAGTAGGAAAATGGGAGAAGCTTATTGTTCTAAAGGAATGTTCTAATACTCACTACTATTAAATAGCTAAAGAAAAAGCAAGACAATCCAGTACATCCAAATCAACAGAATTTTTAAGAAAATTATTTCAATAGGAATACAGTATCCTATTGAAAGAGGAGGCCAAAGCATCTAATGCAGGGGTATCAAACTGCCAGCTCGCGGGCCGGTTTCATCATACCGGAGCCGCGCCCACCCCATTGCCGGCAATGGCAAAAAAGCTCCGATACGTTGCGCGACGTCACGTGACGTCGCAAGTTTGACATGTCTGATCTAATGCATGAAAAATCTGATTAACAAATAAATATTAAGTAAAAATAATCTCCCAGTCTGCTACATCATAACTACACATTTGACAAAAAGATACACAAAAATAGACTTACCACCCAATGTTTCCCTATTCTCTTAGGCAATTTTATTGACAGGTGTTAAGACTAAAACCAGAAAAAAGCTAATTTCACTACCCAAGCACACAGAAAGACCTATACATTTTCATTACAGTGAAGAGGAAAAAAAGCTTGAATTCATATGCATAAGCAAAACTCCAGAACCTCTCCACTGAAACATCACTACCTTCAGCAAACAATACCTAAATAGATATCAGGTTTTGTAATTTTAATAATTATAAATTAAATGTCTTCTAAATTAAAGTCAACTAGCACAGAAATTGGGAAAAAGCTGCCTATCCAGTTTCAATTATGGTTTTCCCAATTCACATCTCATTTAGCATTCCAGGCTACATTAAACTGGGTAAAATAAATTCAGTTAGATCACAACAGTGTCCTCACCAGGAGGGACATTAAAAAGAAAGCACTAAATATACTAGCAGCATTGTTCTGGTCCTGATATGTACCGATAATACAAGCTTAGGGAAGCTGAGCTTATGTACAAATTAGCCCTAGATTTCAGGTACAAAGAATTCAGGTTATTCAAGCTTAAAAGAATGTTTGAACCACTACTCTCATTTATCAGAGGAATGTCTTTTCCAAAGGACCTTGTTAATAATCAAACATTTCCTGTCACTAGCACTGATACTGCTTTTACAAGAGTTTATTTCCATGTATTAAAGGAATGACGTAGACCGAAATGTCATCTCCTGAGCCCAGTCGGTCATTGGATATCCTCCAGCCTCTGTCCTTCAGCACTCCCCTAGCTCGCATTACCAAATCCTGAGCTGCTAGTGTGTACCTGTAGGCAAAGAAGGAAAAGCCAATATTGAAAACTGCTGTTAAAAAGGATCTTTATTGTTTTATAGATGGACCATATTAATCACCATAAATATGCTTTATCAACACTCAGATTTAGCTACCTCATACATAGTCTTCAGACAGTACCAAATGTTCTGAATATTTTGAAAAAAGCTATAAGCTCAATAGATAAGAACATAGTTTACACACAATTTCCAGTGTGGAAGGAAAAAGTGCTCCAATCTAAACACTGCAAAGCTATTACCCTTAGAATCTTGGGAAAGGTAGGACAAGTCTGACTAGGCACTAGGAAACGTAATTATGATCACATGAGGCAAAGCTGCAAACCTGAAGTCCCCAGATTAAACTAGAGAAGACACTAAAAGATCTGTTATTACATTTCCTGCTATATTATAGGAATCCAAACTGAAGTAGGGCTTGAATGCTGCAAAAGAAGGGAATTAAATCTTTTCTCCATTTTGGAAAACAGACTGAAATAAAACATCAATCATAAGATGTGTAAGATATAAGATTTTATATAATGCATGTATTATAAATACAAGATATCTATTGTCTAATGTCTCTAAACTTTACTTTTTTTCCAACAGGAGCAGGAACAGACCATTTATCCTGCATCATATATAGCAGAAGACAAAGAATAATTTACACAGGCCAAGAGGCAACTAATCTGCAATAACAGCCACAGATATATATGCAACAACATACTGATGTATATAGCAGAGTATTCATCTGTTTCCGATATTCTGGCTTTATTTCCCACACTTTCTACTCTTGCCCATACTATAATGATAATGATGATAATGATAATGATGATGATGATGATGATAATAAAATAATAATAATAATAATAATAATAATAATAATAATAATAATAATAATAATAATAATAATAATAAGTTGAAAGGGACCTTGGAGGTCATCTAGTCCAACCCCCTGCTCAGGCAGGAAACCCTATAGCATTTCAGACAAATGTCTGTCCAGTCTCTTCTTAAAAACTTCCAGTGTTGGAGCATTCACCGCTTCTGGAGGCAGGTTGTTTCACTGGTTAATTGTTCTAACTGTCAGGAAGTTTCTCCTTAGTTCTAGGTTGCTTCTCTCCTTGATTAGTTTCCGTCCGTTGCTTCTTGTCCTGCCTTCAGGCGCTTTGGAGAATAGCTTGACTCCCTCTTCTTTGTGGCAGCCCCTGACATATTGGAACACTGCTATCATGTCCCCCCCCCTCGTCCTTCTCTTCGTTAAATTAGACATATCCAATTCCAGCAACCGTTCCTTATATGTTTTTGCCTCCAGTCCCCTAATCATCTTTGTTGCTCTTCTCTGTACTCTTTCTAGAGTCTCAACATCTTTTTTACATCGTGGTGACCAAAACTGGATGCAGTATTCCAAGTATGGCCTTACCAAGGCATTGTAAAGTGGTATTAATACTTCACGTGATCTTGATTCTATCCCTCTGTTAATGCAGCCTAACACTGTTGGCTTTTTTGGCAGCTGCAGCACACTGCTGGCTCATATTTAAGTGATTGTCCACGAGGACTCCCAGATCCCTCTCACAGTTACTACTATTGAGCAAGGTACCCCCTATACTATACCTGTACATTTGGTTTTTCTTGCCTAAATGTAGAACCTTACTTTTTTCACCATTGAATTTCATTTTATTAGATAGCGCCCAGTGTTCAAGTCTGTCCCGATCCTCCTGTCTCTTAAGCCTGTCTTCTGTAGTGTTGGCTATTCCTGCCAGCTTGGTGTCGTCTGCAAATTTGATGAGTTCCCCATCTATCCCCTCGTCCAAATCGTTGATGAAGATGTTGAAGAGCACTGGGCCCAGAACAGAGCCCTGGGGCACCCCACTACACACTTCCCTCCATGTAGATGCGGTTCCATTGAGGACTACACGCTGAGTACGGCCAGTCAGCCAGTTACAAATCCATCTGGTGGTGATGCTGTTTAACCCACATTTTTCTATCTTATCAAATAGTAGATTGTGATCTACTTTATCAAATGCCTTACTGAAGTCCAAGTAAATTATATCCACAGCATTCCTTGGTCAAAGAATGCAATAAGATTTGTCTGGCATGATCTGTTTTTGACAAACCCATGTTGGCTTTTCGTAATGACTTTGTTTGCCTCTAGGTGTTGGCTGATTCGTTGTTTGATTATCTTTTCCAGAATCTTCCCAGGTATTGAGGTCAGGCTGATAGTTCTGTAACTTCCTGGATCCATTTTTTTCCCTTTTTTGAAGCCAAATAGTTGAAGCCAACAAATTCAAAGCATCTGGAACAAATGAAGTTGCCTACTTGTGATCTAGAATAAGTATAACCAGTACAGTACAACTAGAAAAGGCTTATAATCTTTCATCCTTTAAATATGGTTGCTTTAAGTGTAATGAAAATTAAGGAACATAACATTAGAGATTCTCAATAGTTAAAAATATACAGATATTACAGAAGAAACAATACTAAAATTAAATAAAGCAGGTAAATGGAAGTAAAAAAATCTGATAGAAAATAGATAAAGCATGTACATAATGAAGAGTGCTTTCTTTCTTGGCAATACATGAGCAAGAAGATGTTCCCAGTAATCTGAGGATTAATATTAATAAAAAAAATTATCCTCTAATGTAGTGAATTTGAGATGCAACTTTTAAAGCAACTTTACAAAATTGCTGAAGTAGCTTTCAAGCAATCAGTCGTCCCTAAGGAAGTACCTAATTGGTATAGCACTTCAGAATATACATTTGCTTCCTCCTGAAATTTATTGATCATGGAACTACTGCAAAGATAACAGAAGGCACTTCGGGCAAGCAATCTGAACTGTTCATTTTTATTTACTCCCTTGAAAAAGAAATGCTTAGTGCAAACAATAATAAGGGAAGGGCAGAAAGAAAAATGAGACACAGCTCTCATTTGAACTCTCCTTAAGATCTACTCCTATAATGTCACTAAGAAGTGATAATATACGAGTGGATCTTAAGGACAATTTAAGAAAAATATTTACCCAAAGATGTGCTCAAATTTCAGAATGCTATTGTCAACATTGTGACAATTAAGAAACTGCAACCATTTTACCTTTTGCTTTTACTGTGCTTTTTCTGCTGTTTGAGATATTTAGATGTAGAAGGGGGGATGAGGGAATGCTCGAGCGTTTTCAGTTAGCCATAACAATTGCAGATGTGTGTGAACTCAAGGTCAATGTTAGATAAAGTTTTGGTGGGTTGAGAAGTTGGGAGGAGAGCCCGCGTTTTGGAATAAATGGTGAATGTGATTTATGACAGTCTTTCTGGAGTGGGAATTACAACTTATTACTTTGTATCTGGGGGAGGGAACTTCAGTCTTGGATTCAACTATATAAGTGCCGATACTTTGTTTCCTGAATAAAATGTTCTTTAAGGAAGAAATCTTTGCATTGAAATTCTTTTAATTGGTTTCATCTATCGGAACCATGACATTAACCCAAGACTGCCTTTTTCTTTAATTTTACGGGGTCCTGAGCAACAGTCACCTACCCAAAGCAGAAGGAATGCTGACAAAGACTCAGGGAAAATCCCAAAATGGAGAAGAAGGAGGAACCTGTCACCAGCACAACCACATCGGCGGATGGAGCACAGGCCTGTCACCAGCACAACTACATCGGCGGATGGAGCACAGGACATCGCACCGATAGAGAGTGTGGTTTCTGAGACTCCAGTGGCAGGGAGCACATCTGGTCGTCGGAATGGACCCTGCCTAGCGGAGACTCATGGCGTTCAGAAACGGTCCAGCCGAAGAAGAGTTCTTCAAAGACCGCTGAAGTTGAATTTCCACTGATTGCCTCCCAGGAGAAGCTAAGCAGGTGGCGCCATCAGATGAGTCGGGTGAGTGGAAGTATCTGACAGCAATCCGAAGCCAGTCAGTCGAGCGTTTGAGGGAGATGTTCGAAGGGCTAGACGTGGGCAGCAAGGAGCAGGTAACCCACCATTGCTGACCAGCAAGCGAGATGACAGGTGCCTCCAAGACCATTCCCAGTCCAGGAGAAGCCCCAGTCCCATCGGTGGGGCCAGGGCCACTTCCCCGCGACTGATGCTACCAGCTTTAACCTCAAGACCAGTGCAGAGGAGAAGCCCGGATCATCGGTAGCAGCATGCTAGCCCCAACTGTTGTCGGCATTCGCTGAGTCCTGACCGCCACTGGCGACGTGACAACCCAAGGCATCAAGAGCGGTATGTTAGTACCGAGCGGCGGTGCCCCTATGCAAGCCCCGAGCGTAGCCCAGACTATCACCGGTGCAGGGAGAGTCCTGATCATCACGAATACCAGGACAGCCCGGACCGTCACTATCACCGTCAAAGTCCTGAGCCTTGCCATCGGCAACGCATCCCTGAATACTGTCACCAATGCTACACCAACCCTGGGCCAATGCCAAGGTTTGATTAAGCAGGGGCCATTCAACGTGCTTTGCTAAACAGGGAACAATCCATAAGAACCCCAACCTTTTAAACCCACTTTTGACAGAGACCCTAAGAAGTTAACTTTCTTTTTGAACCAAGTGCATTCCTACATGAACCGAAACGCCAATGCCTATCTGGACCCTGCTGCAATGGTCGATGTCATAGTGGCAAACCTGGAGGGGGAGGCATTGGAGTGGCTGAATAGTTTGCACAACGAGCAAGCGCCGGAGCTATGGACTACAACCTATTCATCCAAGGCCTAAGAGCCAGGTTTCAGGACGAATCCATAGCTCTGCAGGCAGAGAAGGACATTCATGAAGTGAAACAGGCAGGTAGACCTGCGAAGGAAAATATGCATGAATTCTGGAGGGCCACAGAGCATATTGAGCGGTGGCCACAATGATCCCTGGTACACCATTTCAAGAACGGCCTGGACACCAATCTGTTCCAAGCCTGTGTCTATCGTGGGATTCCTGACCAACTGCAGGAGTGGTACTGGGTGGCAGTAATGATGGACATCGACCTGACCCGTTACAAGAAGCCGATGACTCCTGCAC